AAAATTAAAAATGACATTAAGAAGATAAGCTACTGCCGACTTACTGTAGCAATAATAGATGCAATATTACAGAACAAATACACCCAGCTCGATTCAGTAAAATGTGATTGGTGTGGTCGGCTGACGCTTACCATTGCCTGTACCGTTCCTTTTACAGGTATTTATCTTGACAAATGTTTGCTTGATGTAAGCTCAGTCAGAAATTTGCCCTTTAATTTTTCCGATTTTGCATTCATCGCAAATGGATAAACTGCCTTCATTCAAATATGTTTTTTTTTTAATTGTCATTTCTTAGGAAAAAAATAGACTAAATTTTACCTGCAAAAATCTTTTCAGACAAATACCATTTTTTAGTAAATATAAAACATAAAAACCCCCCAAACGACGCACTCCTAGGCCGTAATTGCACATGAAAACCATTAAGATTTGATGCTGATCGTTCAGCTCGACGTACCTCGCAGCCGTGATTTACAACCTTGTGGAAGCAAACAACAAAAAAATGTCACCTGAGGCTGTCTGCGAGCTTTTGTCGTGATTTTCAGAGAAAATAACTGAGGGTTTAAAATAACAAGAGACTGCAGGGAGGCAGGGGGGTGGGGTTCAAAGTTCCATTGTCCATTTAAACGTTTAATAGTCTTCCAAAATGCAATAAATTACATGCACACATTTACACATTTTACACGTTTCTTCTATGACTGCCATCAAATACATTGCATATTCCTCTGAAATTTGAACACGAGTCCCATAGAAGGAGGGGGAAATGAAATCAACAATAGGTTTGTTTTTTGTTTAGTGTAGTTTTCTTTCTTTTCTTTTTTTTCAATATAACGTCCCCGCTCCAAGAGCCAACGAATGCTGTATTGAGTTAGGGGTCTGCAGGTGGGAAGTCATGGAGCTGCCGGCTGAGGTGTACCATGACCCCGTGTTTTCCAAAAAGTTAGAAGCCGTCGTGTTGATGCTTTGTGGCTGTAGACTGTGCGGCCTGGAGGGACCCTGTGTGTCCCAGACGGCCGGGGACTGTGGAGAGTTGCAGGCCATGGGGTCGCTGGAGCTGGGGCTGTGTTCCGGGGGAAGCTCGCCGTTTTTCATGATCTTCTTCATCTTTGATCTTCTGTTTTGGAACCAAATTTTCACCTGTAAGGAGCCAAAAATCGCATTATTATTATGATTACTTCCGAAATCACCTCAAAAACAAATGGAGCTTAAAAAACGCTCCTTGCGTAAAAGCGCACAAAGAAAGCCAGAAAACATCGCAAAATCATTATTTTATTCTCAACATTTGAAACACTTAAAACACGATAATTTCTTCCAAATTAAAAGTGATTTGAGAGATCTGAGATGTATTTTTCATCGAAAATCCCACCTGTGTTTGCGTTAGCCCCAGCGAGGCGGCCAGTTCGGCTCTCTCCGGCAGCGCCAGGTACTGTGTGTTCTGAAACCGCCTCTGCAAGGCGGCCAGCTGGAAGCTGGAGTAGATTGTCCGGGGTTTTCTCACTTTCTTCGGCTTGCCATTCACCATCCTCACCTCAGGCTCGCTTATCTCTTTTTCTATTAAAAAACAAAAAAACAAAACCGTGTATAACCATGTATCCATTTCCCCCAAAACCGCATTATCGGAATTTATCTATTACGTGTGTGTGTCATCGTTCAGATGTATTAAAATAACAGTAATAACAAAAAAAACATACATTTTTATGGACCAGATGCATTTCAGTCCAACTAAAAGGAAAGTAAGTGGTTCCTTTAAATGGACTTAAATGAAATAATTTGAAGCATGCATTTGCATTTTTTCTTTTAATTACACATTTATAGACCTTTAGTGCAAATCAGCAGTCGACGAAATGGTAAACCTGGATAAAAAATTTAAAAAACCAACCATATATTTATTTTTTCTTCATAACCCTCTAACAATCTGCTTTTATTAAAATATAAAATGTTAGGCCCGTACCTTGTGGACTCGGCTGGGCTTGCACTCTGCTGTAAGTCCCAGCATACTGGTGGTAGGAGGGGGTCGTGTAGGAGCTGTAATCTGTGTAGGATTTTGTCGAGTAATTTCCAGCAGATCCGTTTACACCCGGGTACTGGTACTGATAGGCATTCAGAGGCTTCCCGTAAGAGGTGGAGCTGGGCGAGCAGTAGCCGTGAGCGACTCCTCCAGCGGGACTGTAGTAGCCAGAATCCGTGGCGGAGGATTCGGGTAAAGTAGGAGATTCCTGAGACGGATGGTGCATGCTGGAGAGTTGAAAGGAGCTCTCAAAGTCTGCAGATTTCACACTCGGGATCCTCCGGTCAAAAACTCCGGTCATACTTCGAGAGAGAGCGCGTGGGTTCGTTTTTATTTAATCAGCAGGGGAAAAAAACACGAAAGAAAAAAAATCAATAATAAAAACCGAGAGCGTCTGTCTCCAGAGCGGTGTAGAAAAAAAACTACACTGGCATTGTTGAAAGGCTCTCAGGCCGTCGGGCTCTGGTGAAGACTGCAGCCAGCCCCGCAGCAAAGACTTGGTTAAATCCTAAATCGCGCTCTTACGCACTGCAGGGAGGATCTGGTTCCATTGGCCAAGGCGCACACAGACACAGCTACACCCAATTCACTCCGCCAGCTTTCTTATAAGGGGGGAAGCCACCCGGGCTGCATGTTGGCTGCATTGTTGTGTTTTTATACTATCAATCAATGGCAGCAATTAAAGTGTCGCCAATTCATCAGAAGGATAAATTAGAAGGACAAATCCTATTACCAAAAAGGCCCGTGCTGCAAGAGCCACCGATTATCACGCTTGTCTTTATTAATCTTTATTTACGCGTTTTTATCAGAACAGAATTCACTAGCTGCTCTAGTCACGCATGGAAACATGGAATCAAATTTAATAATCTAATAATAAAAGAAAATCGCAAAGACATGAAACTGAGCAGCTTAAGCCAATGAGCTCGGGTTTTTTATACATACATGTATATATTCTCATTTTCGTTTTAAGAGGCACATAGCCTAACCCCCATGGAAATTTCAAAAAAGCTTTTCTTGCATCAAATGAATGATGCCAAATATTCTGTACATCATCGGCAAATCAAACACGGTCTGTTTACACAGCTCGGCATCAATAAACGGCTCATTAAATATTAATCCATGTTATTCCCTCCTGAAGCATGCTGCCGAGCACACAAACCAGAGCTCCGGCCGTCAGCCCACACATTCAGTGGTAAACAGCGCCGACAAGAGGACAAAGCGAGGGGCTGCACGTCGTTCACCTTGGCAAACCCACAACACAACATAAAATAAATGCACTCAAATTTGACACAACCCAGACGCCCAGATTAAAAATATACCCATTAGATTAAATTAACGGGGAAAGGGGAATCACGTGACACTGGTAACAGTTTAATCTGATAAAAGAGCCTGCAACTGTTTCAAAGTTTTGGAAGACTACATGGGCGTTTCAGCAGGTGCTGCTAACTGGATGCACACATGCGGAAACATTCTGCATGTTTCATAACTCAAATCTGCAACTCATACAATAAATAATTTAATTTAAACGGCATCAGCTACGCGAAACCAGGCTCACAGTTAAAGAGACATGCAGCACTATCTACTCTCCGAAAACAGAAAGAGAAAGAGCACCCGAAAACAATAACGCAGATTCATTTAATGTGACATAAATACATAACTACACATTAATAAACAAATGGCTTACACAGTGACACCCCTCCATGTCAGTCATATCATTTTAAATAGACCCTCTAAATGTCCCATGGATGGACAGGATTAGAAATGAGTCAATTAGAAAGAGGCGAGGCTGAGATGGTTTGGACATGTGCAGTGGAGGGATAGTAGATATACTGGGCAAAGGGTGCTAAATAAGGGATAGGAAGAGATGGCGGTTGTGGCAATCACTAAAGAGACCAATGAAGAAGGATCCCTCTTATTATTGTTTTTCTTTCACCCCAGTCAGATGTAAAATGGGGAATCTGGATGAGCAAATAATAAATAAACATACACATTCAAAAACATTCAATAGAAACAACCTACCTGTGTGTATCGTCTTCAGCTTTTTTGTTACTATAGACAATAATTCACTTCTTGAGCGTGTACATCTAATTTTATTTCATTCATTCCGCTTAATTAAAGTTTAAGTAATTTTTAGCATAAGTAAAATTCAACGTGTAATATAAAATCACATGGCTTGATAAATCTTCTGTATGTACCGTCGTTATATTATAATGAACTATAACGTTGGAATTTCTTTGTGGATCCATTACCATGCACTAGCTATGGGTATTATAAAAAAACAAAACAAAAAACTTTGGTACCCCGGAAATGCTTCCTCCGCCGAAGAAACAAACTACTTGGTATGTTGCTGTGCTTGTTGACATTTTTAAAAACCGAGATTCGTGGCTATATACATATATATGTACGTATTTAAACCAGACCTGTATTTTAGCCAGGTTATAAAAAGTCATGTTGTTTTTTAAGCCAGGTAAGCGATCTCTGTGGTGGTTTTTTTTAAAGATTTGAATTAGCATCACTACTGAGACCGCGCAGCGTGCGTCTGACGTCACCGAAAAGCAAGATAGTTCCCCACTTTGCATAAATCTAACCGTTAATATTTCCCCTCAAGTCGAAATAACCGTATTTGAAATGTTTGCAACCGTGTAAAATGTTAACTTTGGCTAATAAAATACTAAATCTGATAGGAAACGTGATTTTTCTAAATTGTGTTATATTGTGTGTACTTATGTGTTATATAGTATGTGTTTTATTTATTTTAAAAAAGAATCAAATTTCGTGGACTGATGCGGATACTAGCTTTTTGACCACATTCATGACTACACTGATGGGATGAATACATATATCTTGTAAAAAAAAAAGGGTGATTAAAAAAAGAAGTCCAAATGTAAATATATACACTACCTAAAGTAAAGTGACCAAAGGCGGAAGGAATGGGAAGGAATCATCTTGAAGCGCGTGGTTCTTTACCCTGCGCTCTCTTTTCTCTCGGCTCTCGTTTTGCGTGTTGGGGGGATGGGGCCGAGCCGAGGATGAGAGACTTCAAATATTTACCACTTGGCTAACTAAATATCTGTTTTTAGAACCGAGTTTCCTTCCTTGCACTTGGACATATAAATACACTTCGACTACGGATGAGTTTTGGTGGAATTCTGCGAAAAACTAAGTGGAGTGTTTGTGCGTCCACGACACACGCTTAAAAAAAGTCGACAAAATGTATTCCTCTGCTGGAGGTAAGTGCTGCGGCTAACGTTAGCATCGGCTACGTGATGCGGCCAAAGAAAACTGACGATAACGGAGCGGCATTTTTCTGTGCTGCATCGATGAAGTGCTTGCTATGTTCCGGCTTCACCCAACTCGTTACGATAAAACTCAACAACGGCTTTGACGAGGAACGTGTCGTCCCAGTTTTAAGTGTTTTAGTACTAGAGGCAAGCTTAGCTAGCTTCCAACAACAAGCTGCCGCTAGCCACGCTAGCTTCAACGGCACCTGGTTTCCCGAACTTGTTTTTAGTTAACTCACTGCACTTTCACCAAGTGGGGGTTGGCTGGCTTATGTTTTCTTAACAAATCACACGAACGTAAACGCATATCATTCATTTTCTCGAACTGAAGCGCTAAACACACTAGTTGAAGCAATATTTCGAGGCCGACCTAATCTCATCACCAGTCTGGGATACGATTAGCCTGACAGTTGAAATCGCCACATTTACATATGTCACATTAATACACCAGCTGTATAAACGCACTAACGCCACCGGATCGTATTTTCAGTGTAACACCGGCTTTAAGACACTAAACGATATAGGAGAAGTCTGATTAAGTTTGACGTTAGGTAGAGTGATAGTTAAGCGACTGAGCCGCCTGTCGTTAGTCAGACAGACGCTGTGTTTGTGTGTGTAGATTTGCATACATGCGTATTTCATGTGTGCGTTTCGGGGTTTTTGGCAGCTGGCTTTTTTTGGCGGAATGAAAGAGAGTACAGGCGACATCAACACTATGTTGGATAATTTTTTCCCCACTTGCAGTTATTTTAACGAGGATGTTTTGTTCAACCAAAACACGACTCTGTGTGTTGAAGCAGTTTATTTCTAGGGGGAAGGGGTGGCTTCATCCGTTAGATTGCCAGCTGCTCAATACTTTTTGCGTGTCTATTGATAAGACTCCTGTGGAAGTGATAAGAAAGGCCTGCTGGGATGTATCTAGTGTAATAAATGAGCAGCGCTCTCTTACTGCTTACTACATAAACAAATGGTTTTGTTATGTTAAGCAGGAATCTTTGGTTTCTGGGCTGTACTATGTTATTAGGTGTACACATTTGTCACTCTTTATTTTAAAATACAGTGTGTATCAGACTGAGCGGATCTTTGAGCATTTATAACATGTTATTTTTGTTCTCTGTAGCTGCTGAGATGCTTGAGGGACCTCGTTCTACTGGGTCAGTAAGCTCTGGTAAGCTTTTCCCATATTCGGGCTTTAACACTTTAAATTGACCCTAGTAGTGGTCCAGTGTAAGTGGCAACATTTTTTTTCTCGCACATCCTTCAAGCATCACAATATGTACTCATCTGAAAAACAACAGGACCTGATAGTGACACCATCCAGCAAAAAGCATATAGGTATTTTGATTCTGTAAGTGAGAGTCTACAGAAGATGCTTTTCTCTTCAACTAGTCAGCACTAGTACACCTCATTTTGTGCGCTTATGTGCAGAGCACTTAACTAAAGGGCACTTATTAAAATCCACCATATATTGCTAGGCTTTATTAAAGGTTTTCTGTTTGAATGAACAGCGCTGGAGCTAAAAGATAATGCACTGAAGGGAATGGAGTGTGTCCTGACTGAAATAACTGAAGTTGCAGATATTGCCGAGCTTGTCCAGCAATAATGAGAGCTGTGTGCATCTCCTACAATAAGTTGCAAAAATGTTAACATTTAAAATCATCTTTCAGGGTATAATATAGTGATTTGATGTAGATTTGGTACATGTGTTAATGTTGTTGTTGTTGTTAATATTAATAAGAATAATTCAACTACTGTATCAAAATAATTACAAATGTGAGATTAAAAAACGTTTTTCTTATATCAACTTGTATATTATTGTCAGTGTGGCTACATAGTGTAGTGGTTTACTGATTTGGAAAAAAAGAACCCCTTTGGGGATGGGCCAGGAAGGGGTATCCAGTGTAAAAAACAAAAACATAATTTAAAAAGAAAAGGTGACAAATCAAACATGTTAAGCTGCCTGCTGTGGTGACTTGTTGTGAATAAAGGCACAGGTGAAAAGTAGCTGTATTATTTATTATTTTTGTTCCAACAAAGAAATCAGAAAATATGAAGAAACATTTTTTTCTCAATTTGTTTAAAAAAGTAAATATTAAATTCCCCAGAAGGCTTACTGCAGATAAGTTAAAACAGTCAAATTATGAATGAGAAAAATAATCTGAGCATTTTAATCAAGTTTGAAAAAGAAATTATACAAGTTGCCTTTTTTTGTCTTTTTTCTTTGTAATTTCAGTTACATTGAAAAAAATTTTAATTGAAGTTCTCTGAAGAATTTATTCAGTGGTGTATTTATACTCCGTATGAGCTCTACATCCACAACTGTGCGGTCTGTTGACTAAAACTTGTTCAAAATGACAGCTGCAGCTTGTGCTTTTTCATTTTTCTAGGACAGCCTGAACACATTTGTGAAAAGTCACCCATTATCACTGTTTTAGACAGATTGTTAGCAGATGAGGCACAAATTTACAGTGGCTGATTTTGTGATGGCTAAATGTTTAAAGCAGAGTCCAACCGATTGCTCAGCCAATTTTAGCTATTTGCCAACTTTCAGTATCAGCAATTATAAAATCAGATAAGTTACAGAACAGGCGAGAGAAACACCCTTTCAAACACGTTCTGAATGTTGATGGTGTATAGCTTGTCCGCTAGTGGGTACTCTGCAGCTTCCCTGCAACAGTGTTTGGGTCACCATAAATGAAAGAAGGAGCTGATCTGAGCAGAGTCAGGCAAAGCATAAACTAGCAAATAAATAAATATACATACAAATTTTTTGTGTGTTTGAAAGAATGAAAATACCAGTCATATATTTGAGTTTAAAATACCCCAATATTGGCTTCAGTCTTCAAAACCCTACATGAGTCAGGTTCTAGGTCAGAGATGGTGTGATGAAGAGTTAGCGGATGTCAGATAAATTATTTATAATTTTGTTTGACTTCTCTGAAACACTGAATCCTGCAGCTGCTAATAGTAGCAAAAGTATCAGATGTCACCCAGATCCCCTCCACTGCCCCCCATCCTCAGCCACTGTTCACAAACATACAGTTTTGTAAACATAGATTTGTTTTTCTGTGTGTTTTGGACTTTCGTCCACATGTAAACGTTGTTTCAGATCACCCAAAGCAGCCTTTGCTGCTTCCAGGGGTGAAGATTCACAGATACTGTGCTTCTGTGTTTGTGTGTTGACGAGGAAAACTGACATTTTGTCTTACATTCTCAACATGCCTCGGTTTTGTTTTTTGACATCAGACTGTGAAGCGTGTTATTGTATGTAACTGGCCAGCGTTCCTGTACAGTTAGGGCTACATCATCACATGTTGCTTAGGCATGTTCATCACAGCGCTTGATGTCACTTTGTTATATTTCATGGGGGAAATCCTCGTTTAACCCTGGAGAACCCATGGGGTCAAATTTGACCCCATGGGTTCTCCAGGGTTAAAAAAAAATCCCATGCACACGTGGACATAGCTTTGGTGTGTACCCATTTGTGAAAGTACTGAAATCAGCTGACATGTTGTACCAGATGGAAGAAGTTTTATACAGAACCTTTTATGCTGAATCAATTGAGATGCACACACTTGAATTTGCTGCAGCCCTAGCATAGGAAGAACAGATTGGTTCTGATTTGGAGCTGGGGAGGTCCAAATACTACGATACTGTTTATCAACAGGTGACACTTTTAGTTTTCCTAGTGTAATTGATGGAAGCAAAGCTACAAACATTCGGAGGATTATTCAGTGTATTTGGATAATTAAGTCAGTGTCCTGGAGCTGCAAAACCATGTGGTGTTGTTTAAATTATAAATTGAGTCATTCTGTTTTATTATAATATTAGTATAATATTTTCCAAATAGCGCATATATAATATCCTTGAAATGATGCCAGTTAGAGCTGATGGGTAAGTCATATTGTTAGTGCACATTCGTGATGCTCCTGACTTTAAAAACAAAACAAAAAACCTATTTACCCCTACAGTACATCTTGATCACTTGATTAAAATGATCATACTGCATTATGCACACTGTTATTACTGCTTATGTATGCCTAATCTCTGAGAATTTTTTCAATTGTTTCTTTCCTAACCCTAACCCACTATTAGGCATTATTATGTGTATTCCAATTAGTGGTGCAACGGATCAAAAATCTCACGGTTCGGATCGGATCACGGTTTTAAGTCACGTATCGGATCAATTTTCAGATCAGCAAAAAAAGAAAAAAGACAAAAAATTAACATTTACTTATTCACTTATTGAAGTATTTTTTGCCTGTTAAAAACATTCAACTCAAGACTCATTCCACGCAATTATTAAAAAACAAAAAAATTATGGTTCAATATAGGGCAGTATAGGGCTTTGTATCTACCACCCAATTCAATTCAGTTTTATTTATAAAGCACCAAATCACAAAAACAGTCGCCTCAAGGCGCTTTATATTGTAAGGTAGACCCTACAATAATACATACCGCTCATTATATCGCACTCCGCTGTGATATAATGAGCTGTCATGGTCACGTAGCTTTCCGTTGCCCTGGAGGTCCACTCATTTGTAGTAGTAGGGCAACAGAAGATGCCTGGGACAGTTCAGCCATAACTTTAAACTTTTCCTGCTCATACATGCTTGGAACGATCTTGCCACTAAAGTGGACGCGCAACAGGATATTATAGTGTGGCTCAAGCACGTTCATCATAGTTTAAACCCCTTGTTTTGCACAAGGGAATACGGCCTCCCGTCTGCAGCTAAACACCCCAATAGCTTTTGTAATAGCTTTAGCCCGGTCGGACTGGGCAGGAAAGGACTGCTTAAATACCGCAATTTCCTCTGCTCCTCCACTTGGACTGCTAGCACTGGCCATAACTATCGCTTGACAGACCGACCACGCGCACCATACACATACTTTTTTTTCTTCTTTTTTCGAATCTTCAGATCACGTGCGTCCCGAACCGTGGAGTGGGATCGGTTCGGATTAGGGATCAACTGTGATCCGTTGCACCACTAATTGCAATGCAAACCAACAGCAGATTTTTGTTTTATGTTTGATTTAGATCAGTGAAACATGCTCCAATTCGTTTACATGTGCAACCACAACTCTTTGTTTATAAGGCAGTTTATTGCTGGTTGGGTCTTAAAGGTCTTTTTGATGCCATTCTTACCATTTATTTTGTTGCTTCATTTGATTCACATGTTTTAGATCCCCCATCTTCCCCAGTGCCAGAATATGTGTTCAAGCCACCATCACGGCCAGACTTTGGCACCATGGGCAGGACAATCAAGCTCCAGGCTAACTTTTTTGAGATGGAAATCCCCAAATTGGAGGTCTATCATTATGACATTGACATCAAGCCTGAAAAATGCCCCCGGAGGGTCAATCGGTATATCCTTGTTGATATTTCATTATCGTTCAGCAGATAATTACCTGGGGCATTGCTGGTAATTTGTCCATTTCATTTTCTTTTCAGGGAAATTGTGGAGCACATGGTCCAGCACTTTAAAACACAGATCTTTGGTGATCGAAAGCCGGTGTATGATGGAAGGAAGAACCTTTACACTGCCATGCCCTTGCCAATAGGCAGAGACAAAGTATGTATTCCACACATCAACCTGTAACAGTAAAAGCTCTATTTTGAGTACAAAACAAAAAAAGTATGAGTATTTCTGCAATATGACTGCATTGTATCTCTTCATTTCCTCCCAACTGATCACACAGGTGGAGCTTGAGGTAACTATTCCTGGTGAAGGGAAAGACCGCAGCTTCAAAGTAGCCATCAAGTGGGTGTCCTGCGTTAGCCTGCAAGCTCTGCATGAGGCACTGTCAGGACGGCTACCCAGCGTCCCTTTTGAGACTATTCAAGCCTTGGATGTGGTCATGAGACATTTGCCTTCTATGAGGTACATCAGAATTTCTGTCATTGTCAGTTATAGTTTTGACTCTTTATTTTATCCTTTTATAATACTGTTGGCTTTCTGCTGGTGCTTTTCTTCTGCAGGTATACCCCAGTGGGACGCTCTTTCTTCACTCCTTCAGAGGGATGCTCAAACCCTCTTGGTGGAGGGAGAGAGGTGTGGTTTGGTTTCCACCAGTCTGTCAGGCCGTCCCTTTGGAAAATGATGCTCAACATCGATGGTAATTTTCACAATAAGATTCATTTCTCATGCAAAATGTGTCTAAAGTTGAGCTTTTTCCATAAGCTGAAACTCTGTGTCTAATTACTTTCAGTTTCGGCCACTGCGTTCTACAAAGCCCAACCTGTAATTGAGTTTATGTGCGAGGTCTTGGATTTTAAAAGCATAGAAGAACAGCAGAAACCCTTGACAGACTCTCAACGAGTGAAATTTACAAAAGAAATCAAAGGTAAGATAAACGTAGGAGCTCATATTTTTAATGATTTTGGGAGCTTTGATGTATAAAAAAACATTTATTTGTGAGTTCAGATTCTTATCTGATACTTTTTTAGATTATTTTCTCATCAATTTTCTTCAGATACAGGTTGTAAATAGTTTTTTTTTCCCCAATTTTGGTTTTTCTCTAAGCGTGACCTGCTGCTGATTTTCTTTTTAGCAACTATAACTGACAGCATACATATTAAAGTATTCTGCTACAGTAAAGAGGTGCAAATATTTGAGTGGAAATTAGTTACTGTCCAAACACCTTTTAGCTCACATAGGCTACGTTTACACTGCAGGTCTTAATGCTCAATTCAATTTTTTTTTGATCAAATCCAATTTTTTCGTCTGCCTGTTCGCACTGCAAATAAAATGTGACAGCAAACGCGCTCTAGTGTGAACCCTCAAAGTGACCCGCATGTGCCAAAGAAGATGGCACACACAATGCACTCTGCTTAGAGCCAGACCAAACAGTATTGTTTCACTGATGGCCCTTAATATAAAGACTTGTTTTGCACTTTACGTTTCCCAATTTTGCTTTAAGTTATAAAGTTATTTTGTTATTTACATATGGCCTAATAATTATTCTTATTGCTGTTTTAGAGCGGAGCAGTGCTTCAAAGGATAGTTGCAGATTTCTGTCAGAATCTGCAGATTATACAGTACAAATAAAATGTTCACGTTTCTCCAACGTTGTCTTCCCAACAGTTTCACTAACATCTACACTGGATGGCCAGGAGGCGTTCGCGATGTCTTCTCGGGCGCTTCTCCAGCGCTGATAATTGGCGTCTGTCTTGTGTCAGTGACGTAAAAGACGGATTTAATGCGATCACTTTCTAAAACATCAGATATGTATCGGATTCAGTACCACGTACGAAAGTGACCCCGGTCGGATTTGAAAATATCGCATTTGTGCTGTTCACACTGTCATACCATGATCGGATATGGGTCGCATAAGGTCAAAAAAGTCATATTTGATGCGCTTTTGCGTGCGGTGTGAATGTAGCCATAGTTTACCTTACAAAAAAAGCAGGCTCAAACAAATGTACTTGAATCATTTTCTAGTATGTTTATAACTTCACCAGATAACAGGAAAATTATTCTCTTCTCTTCTGCTTTGCTCAAACCAAGGCTGCTGCCTTTAGCTACTTGTCCATTGTTAGCTTCTTTAAAGTGTCCATGTTCAGTTGGCTGAAGGTGATTTAAATGACTGGTTAGGTTTGCTGTTATGAATTTTCCCTTAATTTTATTTAACAAAAATGTTTATGTTCAACCTTTGTTTCCTTTTATTGTGATTGCTTTATTCAGGCCTGAAGGTTGAGATTACTCACTGTGGGCAGATGAAGAGGAAGTACAGAGTGTGCAACGTGACAAGAAGACCAGCCAGCCACCAAACGTAAGAATGCTTTTTTAAAAATATCATTTTTCAATTAAATTTTAAAAACAAGATAAATAGCATGCTTAAAATTCAAATATCAGGTTTGCTAAAGGTTTACAACAGCAACAACAAAAAAATCACCTACAACTGCATTTAGCCCTGTTAGATTAACTGCAAAATACTATTTAAAACCAAACTTTCTGTCTAGATGACTTGTCATGATTATAAGTAGTACAAATTTGGAAACACTGGTCTAAGAATATTCCTGCTGACTGTAGATTTAAAAGGTTTCACATGTTGAATGCTTTTTTTTTTTTTTGGGGGGGGGAAATCTTTAGGTTCCCTCTGCAACAGGAGAATGGCCAAACTATAGAGTGCACAGTAGCTCAGTACTTCAAAGACAAGTACAAGCTCATCCTGCGATACCCCCACCTGCCATGTTTACAGGTGGGGCAGGAGCAGAAACACACCTACCTGCCTCTAGAGGTAAGCATCATCAACCTCTTGTTCACCAGCTAGGTGACTTGAGATTTTTGTTTTTTTGTTCTTCTAAATGATTTGCGCGTGTCCGCCCCAGGTGTGTAACATAGTGGCAGGACAGCGCTGCATCAAAAAGCTGACAGACAATCAGACCTCCACTATGATCCGTGCCACAGCCAGATCGGCACCAGATCGTCAGGATGAGATTAGTAAACTGGTGAGTTATATGAACTGTAACAGACACTGTTTTTAAAACTTAAGTTTTCACAAGTTTGACACCATTCCTGCAACAACAAGTGAAGGAAAACAGAGAATGTTTACATTGTGCCAACGGCTACACTCAAGTGATTCATCACTGATGTTTGCCCAGAGTTCTAAGGCCAATAGCAAGCACTGCCAACATGATAAACTTAAAAATTAATGGGTTCAGTGAGGCCAGTGCTGGAAGGACTGCTAATAAAGACAACAAAAGTCTTTGAGATTGATGGTTGTAGTGAACTGCTGATGAATTTGCTCATTGGTATAGAATGTTTACAATCATAGTCCATAATATTAGGGCTGCTCAATTAATCGAATTTTAATCACGATTACGATCTGGGCTTTCAACGATCATTAAAAATGACTGAGCCGATTAGTAGCCCCTCCCTCATTTATCCGCGACACCTTAAAGGCCGTCTGTGAAAATATTGTCGGGCATAAACCGGTCCGTGGCGCAAAAAAGGGTGGAGACCGCTGATTAAGAGGACCCGAGGGAAGCTCGGAAAGCTAAGCAGAAGTTATTTGGAGAGTGACTGCCGTTGGTTGAAAAGAGAGTTTAAAAAAAAAAAAAAACTTCAGTGGTGTTGCACACCATTTTACATTATTTTTTTAAAGTTATTGTTAACCCTTTAAAGCCGGTCAGAGCAGCACGCTCCGTTTTGCGTAACTATTTTTAAATCCCTGTAGAACCTGAACCGTGTAAGCTAGCGCAATAATTTGTTTTGCATATGAAACCGGAGGAGTTGTACTTACATCTGATGCCATCAGCTTGTCCTCGGTCACGGTTTCGTTCCACATATAGCTTTGCAAAAATTGCATAAAAAGCGCTTGCAGGAACAAAAACATAATATTCCAGAAACACGCTTTGCCGTTCCTATCAGCTGTTCGTAACACTTCCCACAGTGAAATGATGCACATGCTGTTTTCTTTGCAAATTTGCATCATAGGATTGTTTTTTGTTTTTCCTGCAGTATATAAAAATTGGTGTATCTCCAAAATAAAACTATGAAGACACTCAAAATAAATTTCCTGTGGTGGGAAACTATTTTTTTGCAACTTTATTGTATTTAAAGTTTTGAGGGATAAGCCTCTTAAATTTCTCCAAGTAGAAATATATGTAAACAAAACAAAAGCGATTTTCAATTTTTTTTGTAGTTTATTGCACTTTTTTGCAATTTATGTAATTACTATGGACTTAATGCATACATATTATTAAAATATGGGCTATAACAGTTGTATTGATGTATAGCAACTTGAAATGCTCCCACAAATGGCACTACAACATGTAAAAAAAAATAATAATATAAGCTCTGGTGGACTTGGTTCTATGGTAGGTCTTAAAGGGTTAAATAAATATCGTCAAATAATCGTGATCTCAATTTCAGTGAAAATAATCGTGATTATCATTTTTGCCATAATCGAGCAGCCCTACATAATATTATGATTATCATTAATAACAATACAGATTACCTTTAATATGAAATGAATAAACATGAATAAAAGAAAATAAATAACTTGACTAAAATCTTAAAGTTTGCTGTATTATGCTAATGAGTGTGTGTGTGTGTTTATTCAGATGAGGAGTGCCAACTTCAACGCTGACCCTTACGTTCGTGAGTTCGGAGTGATGGTTCGGGATGAGATGACGGAAGTGAATGGCCGTGTCCTACAAGCTCCTTCCATACTGTATGGAGGCAGGGTATGTGTTAATGTGCTTTTAATGCATGAATTACTTTATTCGTTTTTATTCAAGTAACTTCATCGTGGATGGTGTGATTAGCACTTATGATGTTGCTCTCATTGCAATTTGCAGAACAAAGCAATAGCCACACCAATCCAGGGAGTGTGGGACATGAGGAACAAGCAGTTCCACACTGGTATTGAGATCAAAGTGTGGGCCATTGCCTGCTTTGCGCCACAGAGACAGTGCACCGAACTCCTACTTAAGTAAGCGCGATACATTGAATGTATGTTATCTATCATATGCAGATGTATGTCATGCCATCGTGTGTGCGTGTTATTGTTTGATAGTAGACAGCTTAAGGCTTATGGTGCCGGGTGTGTTTAAAAAGTTGTAAAGCAGAGCGTAGGTCCTGTACAGAAGTGCGTAAACACAGTCACACAGTCCTTTTTGTTTTTTCTGTTAAATGTTGACCAAGTTTACTGTGCAAATATAGTTCTGTGTAAAAGCACGTGCCAACTACATACAGCTGTGCTGTGTATTTACAGTGTGTAAGCCAGGCTTTGTTTACTGCATTCATGTTATTTTTGTATTTAAGCAAGTCAGTATGTCCTGACTTTTCATGGCACTCACCAAGACTGACCAGCTCCTTTTTAATTGAAGTCTGGAAAACCAAACTTTCACTGTAATTTAAAAATAAATGTTAGGAAAAGCAGTCCAATGGGATAATTTGAAAACTTCATACAATGTATCTAAGGCAGGCAGGCAGCTCTCAAATGTCATCTAACCTAAACTAGGACTGTGTCTTAACCCGTTTATCTTTAAATTAACAAGATCTCCACCTGTCAGAGCTTTCACAGATCAGCTGAGGAAGATCTCTCGAGATGCAGGAATGCCTATCCAAGGTCAACCTTGCTTTTGTAAATATGCCCAGGGAGCTGACAGCGTCGAGCCCATGTTCAGGCACCTCAAATACACCTACCAGGGCCTCCAACTGGTGGTAGTGATCCTACCAGGGAAGACACCCGTTTATGGTGAGGGATCTTCTTTTACTATGGTATTTATTTTGTCTGAGAAATGTATTTTTGTTTGATTGTTTCCAAACAAACAAACACTGTGGCTTCTCCAGCCAGGCGCAGTTTAAATTTACCATTTTAAAAGCCGCTGGTGTGGCTCTTCACTCAGAAACAAGTATGGTCATTGTTGCTTCGCCTGGATGCTTGCATTTAGCTCTGTAAAACAATTTGACACTCAAGGGCTGTTTTCAGAGTTTCTCTGAGTTCCCTTTAAATCTAGGTTAAGTGGTTAAAGTTGTGACATCACAAACAGATGTGAAAAGTATAAGCCTGCTTTGTAGAGAATGAGAGTTGGTTAAAGTGATTGAGTTTGGGTAAAGTTAGGCATCATGTACTTGTACAAAAGTATCTCATTTTGATAATTAAACTCTTATTAATAACTGAAGCATTAACCTTTTATAAAGAACAGAAATCAGGGAACAGTTTTATTCATGTTATTTATAACTCTCCTTGAACCTGAAGGGGGTCTTTAATTAGTCCCTACCACTCCAACCGCATTCTGCTGCAACTTCAAAGACGACTCCCCACTTCTAGTGTATCTGAACATGCTGCTGCGCTATTGCCTGCTCAACAAGTTTTACTGCTTCTGTATCTGCTTTAGAAGTAAACCACAAGAAATTACAGAAAAAGTTATATACTCCGCTTCATTTTTGAGCTTCAAGTTAGTTATTTTAAGTCATTTGTGCATAAATAAATAAAACAGACATTTATCCTTTACGTAGAAAATACTTTTAGTCAGCTTACTTATGTGCACTAAATCGTCTGGGGCAGATTGTGCAACACTCCATTTTTTTTTTTTTTTTATTATAGCAGATCAAATTATATCTCCCCCTTGTCCTGATGTGTTTTTAGCTGAGGTGAAACGTGTTGGGGACACGGTTCTTGGCATGGCCACACAGTGCGTGCAAGTGAAGAACGTTCAAAAGACGACGCCTCAAACTCTTTCCAACCTGTGTTTGAAGATTAATGTCAAGCTGGGCGGTGTTAACAACATCCTCCTCCCACAGGGCAGGTTAGTGGAAATTCTGGTGAATTCTTATCATGAAACTAATGAGTTGCTTTTATATTTTTTCAACACATGAAAGCTATGCCATTGTGTTAAACTTTTTTATGTACATCTACTGTTCTAGGCCGGTGGTGTTTCAGCAGCCAGTGATCTTCCTTGGTGCAGATGTGACACATCCACCTGCAGGAGATGGAAAAAAGCCCTCTATCGCTGCAGTAAGCAACAACACATTACGACCTACCCTTCACAATATGTTATATTTTTGTGTGTGTGTGTGTGGACTGACACAGAGTAACAAGATACTGTGTTCTAGCTTAAACACACACTTCACATATTATGCAACAGGACAGTGACATCACTGCCTCAAAAACAAGAAAGAAAACTGTTTGACCTCCAAGCTCATCCTAATCAAAGTGTCATCAAAATGTGATAGACTGAGAAAGTCCAGTTGTCTGTCATGTTTTTGTTTTTGTTTTTTTTGTTTTTTTGCTTGTTTGTTTTCATTGTAAAAAACTATGTGGGACGGGACATCAAAAGGATGAAGCATCTATCACTATCATTTGTCATTCTTAGTAAATCCTTTTTAATGTGGTCATACCTGTTTTTGTTCATTCTTTCTTTTCATTTTAGGTGGTTGGTAGCATGGATGCCCATCCCAGCCGGTACTGTGCGACAGTACGGGTGCAGCAGCACCGCCAGGAAATCATTCAGGACCTGGCTACCATGGTGAGGGAGCTGCTGATCCAGTTCTACAAGTCCACCCGCTTCAAGCCCACCAGAATCATCTACTATCGGGATGGCATCTCTGAGGGCCAGTTCAACCAGGTGATCCATATATCCAGGACCACACAGAATAAACTATAACAAACAGGAAAAGTGATTGATTTTCCTTATGCACTTGTGCTGTTGTAGGAAATTAATTGAGCTGGCAGAAGTTGCTGTTAAATGTTAATCATGCTTTTGTTGTACATATATTGTTTTATGGGTTACCTTTAAGATCTTACGACTTTGTTGCGTGCAGGTTCTTCAGCATGAGCTGCTGGCAATCCGGGAGGCCTGCATCAAACTAGAGAAGGACTACCAGCCTGGTATTACCTTTGTGGTTGTTCAGAAGAGACACCACACGAGACTGTTCTGTATGGACAGAAATGAGAGGGTTAGTACTCTGTCACTGCTAGTGCTGGGAATTTATGAATGATCTGGGTCAATTATTAACTGAGTGCATACAAGTTTAGGAATAGAGTGATGTAAGATGCTCTCACCAGTGTCCCTAATAATGCTTCAGAGGAAGTTTCAAAGATTTTTAAGTATCCCATCATCATATGCAGTCACTATGAAATGCAACAACTTGTCTTATAACAAAAACTAAAAACAATAACTGGGATAATAAAACACCTTGACACACTAACTTCTTGTCTATTAAAATGTTTATGATCCTTCAAGGTTTTAAATGGACTGGCGGTACATTAATTAGCTGAACTCTTGCTTTATCATAATCAGGTTAGAGCTCTAAAGCCAACCAACCAGATGCTCCTGTATGTTCCATGATCCAGGCATAAAAATAGAGGTGATCTAAACCTTTGTGGTGGCTGCAAGTAGAGTGTGGCACCTTTGACTTTATCTCCTATCGTGCTGCAACTCTATTCTTGTTGTTTTTCTTTTCTTTAGTCACTGTGGGGATTTTCTTGTTGTGTTTCATGGTTTGGATATTTTCATAGTTGAGAAATTTGGCAAACTCTTGTATGTATGTATGTATGTATGTGCGTGCGTGCGTGTGTGTGTGCGTGCGTGCTTTTTCTTTTATATTCACCAGCTTGGGAGGTTTCAAAGTAATGTAGGCTTGTTGGGTCAGAGTGCACTTAAGCAATTCCAGCTTAACAAGCATTTCCATGGATGTCAAAGGAGCTTGCAAAGAAAGGCAAGCTCCTTTGACTACAATGACCTGGATGACTGAGAACCTTCACAGACATTTCCATGGATATTTTTTTTATAGGTTGGGAAGAGCGGCAACATTCCGGCAGGCACCACAGTGGACACCAAAATAACTCACCCATCAGAGTTTGACTTCTACCTTTGCAGTCATGCTGGCATTCAGGTAAAAGTCAAGTTGGATAAGATGTATTGATAAAGGCGTCTTCCACTGTGTTTTCTAATGAAAGCAGATTGTGAGTTAAAAACAACCCATTATACCTGACATCCGCTTTACTTCCGGACAGGGAACCAGCAGGCCGTCTCACTATCACGTGCTCTGGGACGACAACCACTTCTCATCAGATGAACTGCAGGTCCTTACCTACCAGCTTTGTCACACTTATGTGCGCTGCACCCGGTCAGTGTCCATCCCAGCACCAGCTTACTATGCCCATTTGGTGGCTTTCCGGGCTCGCTATCACTTGGTGGACAAAGAGCATGACAGGTGAAGAAATTAAAATCTCTTAGTTTGCAGATGTTTGTCTCCTTGTTGGAAAAACTGACAGTTCTGCAACTTTTTTCTCTTTCAGTGCCGAGGGCAGTCACACATCAGGTCAAAGCAATGGGCGTGACCACCAGGCCTTGGCCAAAGCTGTTCAGGTCCACCAGGACACCTTGCGCACCATGTACTTTGCCTGAGAGCACCCAACTCCCAGGTTGGCGTGGGTGAGACATCACTGATGGAACGCACTACCCTCCGCTGTCTCACTGTCAGCTGTAGATAACATTACAGTGGTTTCACATTGTGATCTCCCTACCAGACAAACATGTCAGTAACCCAAATGTCTACAATTGTACTTAAACCCACCAAAACCATTCCAGCAATTAGACTGTAACATGCAAAAGAGTCATTCTTTCTTGAGGATTGAGCTGGAAGAGGCTTTATTTACATGTCGTGCATTAGTTGTATTTGTACTTGTTATCTGTTTAAAAAAAGGGTGAAAATTATGAAAAGACAAGGCAGAGTTTGTATGTTAATAGAAGAATTTTCTTTCTTTCTTTTTTTTTTTTACTAGCAGGCGAAAACAGTATACAGTGGGGTGGTTTCACATTTCGAAGAAGCCAGTCGCCCTCCTTCTCCTTTTGTTTTGTTATTAGGCTCTTGGTGCTTGAAGGGAGAAGGCAAAAATCAAAAGATGTGGGGGTCCATTAACTGTTATATGCCTAATGATTTAGTCCTCCCCACAGACATTATTTATCAGCCTATCAAAGCAAAGTGCACTGACCAGGATGAGCGCTTCAATCAGGACAAAAGTACTTATATATATATATATATATATATTGAGGGTTGTTTGTGTTCGTTTTCCCCCACATAGGGCACTATGTGATGAAAAGTGCCATTTAAGAGTATCTTCTTTCTTTTTTCTTTTTTTTTTGCCACTTCTATGTAAAACAATGAATTTTTCTTCCAGTATTTGTCCTCTTGACACTGATGATCTTATTATGCCAACTCTGTTGACAGTTAATGATCTTGACATCAGATTTGTTTAACCCCTGAATCTACACTTTTTAATTTATTTTTTTTTAATGAAGCTCTTTTTGTATTTAGAAATTTGGGGGGGGGGACAAACATTTTTTTTTTCCTCCTTTGCCCCACTGTTAAGTCTGAACTGACAAACCAGTGACCTGAGATGTAATATATTGGGACTGGTTCCCAGTAAGGACACATTTCTAATGTATTCTGAGCCATGTTGACAAAAGACACTTGATTAGGAAGTCACCATAGTGGGGAACATGTTAAAATCTGTGTGATTCCCATCTGTTCTTACAGACTTTTTAAAATTTGAATAACTTCTCCAATGGATATGCATGTAGCTGGCTCATGTTTTAGACATTTTAGGCATTTGTGATGATTGTTTATTTCTCCCTTTATACACATCAACCCTACTTCTATTTTTTTAATGTATATAACACAGGATCGTGTATTCTGCTGTGTCATTTGTGTGGCTTGTCGGTAACCAGGCATTCGGTACAGTGGAGTCAAAGCTGCAACATTTTAGAGTTTAACTGATTGAAATTCCTTAAAACTTCTTTAACGTAGTGTTTGCTCCAAGAACTAGGGGCTGTCATCGCACAAAAGCTTGGGTTTTATGCAAATGACTTTTTTGTGAGTCTTTATACTATTTAGTAATGTTGGTAATAAGGTATATTTTGAATAAGCCTTCAGTGGAAGCTGCTGAAAGATTATAGTTTTTTTTTTTCTTTTTTAAAAAACTGGCCCACGTGTTAAAAAAATTGTCTAAATTAATATTGTCTTTGTATGCAGATAAATGCAAATATATGGCCTTTTAAGACTGTCATGTCTTACTAATAACATTATTATATAATAATATCCCACCTAAGTTTTACTAATGCTATAAGCAGGTGAATGTTGACATAGTCTTGAGTGGAGGCGAGTAGTTTATCTTTTCTAACTATGCATCATTTTTAACCAAGAGATTTAGCAGTGGGTATCTCACATGAATTGGAGTCATTTCTAGAGGTAGATAATCAGGGCTTTTTATGTTGTTTTTAGCATATTGCATTTAGTAGCGTTTCTTAGTGCTTATCAACGTCTTCATACCTTTCTAATAGGATGAAGTATTTATGTGGTCATTTGTAACATTGTAGATTTTATAGCCTATAAATTGGGTGGATCCTTTGTAACACACAGTCTTTCCTAGCCAAACAAGATTATGAACTTTTACATGATGAATATTAAAAAAAGAAATATATATATATATATATATATATATATATATATATATATATATATATATATATATATATATATATGAAAGCACAAAAGGACATCTCGATTCTAGGTGCTAGATGTTTTCACTGTAAAACACCTTAAATCCTCACTGGACTGGTCCACAAGTCTCCGTAGTTGCATGCTAAAAAACAAGTAAGCATCATAATGTTTTGGATCTTTTCTCTCCCTTTGATGACCTCTCTATGGTTCCCTTTGTACTCATGACCTGTAAAAGCAACTAGAAATCCGACTGACTGTGTTTGTGGGGCATTCTGAAAATTCTGTACTTGATATTTACTGTTATGATGTCAATATTGTTCTTATCGGTGCTGGTCTCACAACATGTAAATTTGGATGCACTTTTGATAGCAATGGTGTGACTTTTATAGATAATCAATTGAAGCGAGAGGCTCGGCCGTTTTGCGTGACGCCGGCGTAATTGTGTGGAAATGGCCGTGTGTACTACCTCTTGTTACCTGTTTTAAGTGTTATGGTAACATCACACTGCTGGCCATTTCTGTATAATTACCCCTGCAATCTATCTAATTGGCGCTGTTTGAGTCTTGCATCTTGACAGAATAGGTTTTAAACGTTTGCTGTGCTTGATGGTGAACGTGCTTTCTCAGTTTGTGGTTAAGCGATTTATTTTTTAACTTTTTTAATTTTTCACCCTCATAGTTTTGCTCAGACTGATGAGAGAATGTGTGTTTTGAGTGTTGAGCTGTACGACCAAATTCCTGAACTGTGTTTGTACCTACACACAGATTTCCCTGCTTTCTTTCCTTTTATTCTATGCACCAATAAGAAGCAGCATTTTTTTTTTATTTTATTTCTATATTGAATAATAACTCCTTTGCTTTTCAGTTGAGCAGTATGCCATCAAGTATGTCACCCATATTTGGTCTGATAATTTTATTTCATTATTCAAAAGTAGAAGGTACAAAGTAAATGTACCCAGTTGGTGCTGTGTGTCAGACTAGGGAAGTAATCTAGAAAAGACTGCCCACGGATAGATTGATAGAGCCTGAAAACTATCACATAGTACTTGTTGATATCTGTATGAAAATGACACAGCCGAAGATTTATGTCAAATTTCACCCCAGAGCATTTATTTCTATGTACAATCATGCATTTAAGTCCTTATTTAAGCTTTAGGTTTGTTTTGATCCAGTCATCTCGGTCAGAGTAGGTGGATCAGAACAGATGAATTAATCAGGAGAAGCCCATCTTTGGCTCTGTACTTGGAAATGTGAATGTCTTTGTTCCTGTGTGATTGCAGGCCTTTGTAACGCGACCACAGCTATCTTCACTTACTCGAATGTTCAGTTCTTAGACTGTTCCTCAAAGGGACGCGTCGGAATATAGTGTAATAGTTGGAAGTCATTCTCTAGAAGTTAACCGTCATGTATTGTTGACAGATTGAATCATTGTTTCCTGTAACAGCACAAACATCAGAAACTGACTGGCTTGTAACTTTAAGCTGTCTATGTTTTTTAAGAGATGACTTTGAACTTGTTTCCGCTTCTTTACGTTTTACATTACCTACACCAGCACCTTATAAAACCTGGTCAAAATGGCTTTTTTCTCCCTATACTTAACAAACAATATTCGACAGTGTGTTTTGTTTTGTTTTTCTTTGCACTAAACAAAGGACTTAGAGCTAGTCATGTATTGAGAGTGTTTATCAGGGGGCAGGCTGGCAGCCTGGATTTTTGGATTTTGGTGGCTTTTCAAAATAAAAGATGCACAGTCAACAAGTGTCGCCAATCATAGGCAGGAGATTTGCGGGGGGTTTGTAGCCGGCGCATCAATGCCACAGTGTTTGAGTATTAAGGTTTGACACGGCTGTGACAGCCATGTGCACATTAAGTTGTTCTTAGTAAGGCCTCTTTTTCCTCTAAAATCGCTACAAACTACACATATCACAACTCAGAAGAGGCTTTTCCTTTTTCACATAAATCATCTTCGTCACAATAGAACAGAATACTTTATTGTGACTGTTACAAGAACAATGAAATACAGTATGAGCTCAGTCAAGAATGTTTAACAGACCAATACTTGTAGCCTGGATGAATGTGGCAATGCTTTTCAAGTAAAGTGGAGCAGTGAGGCTTTCAGAACAGCTGTAGTGCTGCCCATAAAAACATTCTCAAACAAGGCAATTAAATGCACACATTCACCTCACTTTGGCTGTTTTCCCATTATCTTTCGGAGCGGCCAAAACGCGGATAAAGCAAGTTTTAGAAATAGCTTTTTCGTAAACTAAATGGCATATCATAAGCTATTTTAATCAGCAAATTATTTTCTCATAATTTTCTTTAGTTTTTAAGAGGTAATGATAACATTTCTCCAAATGGTAACCATCAGCCTTTGCGTTTTTGTTTGTTTGTTTTTATTAATAGTATTCTTTTTAATTTATTTTCATTTTTTTTAATGGTCATGGAGTACAAAATTAAAGCCGGCTTTCTAATGAAGCAGTCCCCTTACATGAATTAATTCCATACCATTACCCTCTGTATAGTAATGTCTCCTCTTTCTGTCGCTTATCTGTCTCTTGTGGAGAAAATCTTGCTGTTATAAAGAGATCTCTTGTAGAGTAGATCCTATTTTCCTAGCTCCATATATTAAAAATGAATGTAATTAGAACCTGCGTGGTTTGTAATGTTGTATAGGCTATCCATCCAGTACATTTATACTCATCTTTGCATCTTATGTACAGCCTTTTCTTTCTGTTTTCTTCTCTTTATTTATAGGCTTTATTAATTCCAGAAAGTATTGTTTTCTTCTTCTCAGTCATTTAAATATTGCTCATGTCACAGACCATATAATCTTTTTATTTTTATTCTTTCTGATATGAAATGAAAGTAGTAATTTCACAGTTGTGCTGTCTTTCTCTGGATGTTGGCTACTGTACTTTTAGGAGACATATGTTTCACACTGGTGCAAAGAGTAGCCATCCTTTGAGTCCTGGCATCATACTTGTGTGAGGTGCTAAAACATAAGCGCTTTGTGTGTATATTAGGTGGTTTGCGTAGGTGTGTGATCTCATTTGCTGTTCGATTTTAAACGTATGCTTAAGCCCTCGGGTCTCGTATTCCTGTCCAGCCCCTACAGAGCTGTCTTGTAAAATCCTCCCTGAATTATTACATTAATTAGTGCAGTGCCACATAAATGCAGAGAAGCTTTTTTTAAGTGTTACTTCTGTTCCTTTTTTCATTTGTATTGCTACACAGCTGGGTTTTTTGTTTTGTTTAGTTTTTTAGTTGTTGTTTTTTGTTTTTTTTTTTTAGATCTATAACTGACCTATATATATACATGGCATATACATAACATCCCCGTTCCTGTGTGACATAGATTTTTTTTTTTCTAAATAAGCATCACTTTTTGTCTCTGACAGTTATGCCAATGTCCACTCAATTATCTGTAACCATTTGCTGCCAGTTTGGTATCCATAAAGTTTGCCTGTATTCTTGTTTTAGCTACAAGTGTCAACAATTAGTATAAATTCCAGTGGTGTACCAATAAGGAAAGACCTGTTCAATTCCATTGGATGCAGCTGTTTCATTCACTTTACCTTGGATGTGTTTAAGACATCAGTCACACTGGCCTAGAGACCAGTTGGGGACTGCCTGGCAACCATTTTTCAATGTGGTTGCTGGAAGTTTCTTTTTCTTTGTTTTTTGTTTTGTTTTTTGCGGTCACTAGGTCAAGTTGGCTGCAAAGGGGTATACAGCGCTAAGCCAAAATTCTCCTTGTTTTGGTTGCTAGCACATTTCCATGGTCGCTTCTAGTTTGCATGGGAGATGCCAACTTGTCTGCAAACACTTAGCAACCACCACCAAGCAGTAGTGAAACTGTGAAAAGTGCGACACAAACTGGAAATGGTGCTGGTTTGCCATCAAAGCAAAAGATGTGACTTTTAAAACGTGTTGGTTTCAGCTAAAATTTCACTTTTACTATGACAGTTTTTGTTTTGCATTGCACTTTTCACAGTTTCACTACTACTCAGTGGTTAATTGGCAAGTGTTTGCAGACAAGTTGGAATGTTCCATGCAAAATATAGGCAACCAAACTATTCACTAGAAAGGTTTTGGTGACAGCCAGGAACTTCCAGCAACCACTTAACAACTAGTTAGGAATAAACATTGTTCCCTGGCCACTTGAGGTTTCCAGGGATCGCCAACCACTCTCTAGACCTGTGTGACTGAAGCCAAAGAAACGGGAATGCAAGATTACAGTGTTGGCCGTACTACTTTGTTTCTAATTAAACATCTAGTGGAAAAATGGCCAGGAAAATGTCTTGATCATAAAAGGATCAATCCCAGTCATTTTGTTAGCACTTGAATTTTCTTTATCCACGGAATATTTTAATGTCAAGTAGATGGTTTGGTATGCTCGAACTGCACTTTTTTAAATCATTGCCTGCTGGATGCCATTTTATCCTAATTTCTTGTCTATAAATTCTAATTGAATATAGCTATTTCTGTGCATTCACAAGTGAACTTCTAAGCTCCTCTGGCAACCAGCAGGGTGCAGAAAAGGACACAGTAATCTGGCAGCTGTGGCATTGACAGGTGACACATCTGCATCCAGGTGGCTATTCAGGGTTAGGCTGGATGACGTAGTAAATCAGATCTAGACTGAGGAGAGCCGTTACAGAACTTAACCAAGCCATCACCATTAAGCTGAACTATATGAATCCAATCATGCAAGACTTGTGGGTATTTTTTATTTGTATTTTTCCAAGCATTTTTAGTCTTGTGAACGACTTGGCTTTTTATTTACTGACTTGGATAAAACTACCTCAGAGCAGTGTCGGGTGCTAGCTAATATTATCCCTAATTTATGAGTGACAACAAAATGAAGAAATTGTAGTGACCAAACCAATGAAAGCCAATATCACATCAAAGCACTGTCTGTTTTGGGGGGTTTTCACCCTTAATAAGTAATCCTGCATGGACTGGTTGGTTGCTTTAGTTGGTTACATTTTACCGGACCAAATTTTTTTACTAT